CTGATGAGAGGTCGGTTACCCCTTCACCACGCAGGATAACCTAATATTCCACAAACATATTTAATCTAATTATTCTCCATTGTCATCCATTGGTCTGGTTTAATTTCCCGTTTTACACTAAGGCACCACAGGTCTAACCAGGCTGGCAGAGTGCTCCCACGGCATAGAATTGAATTATACTGTTTTTTTCTGAGAACGGTTTGAAATGAAAATATTAAACTTTTTTTCTTTCATTTACCAGTGGGTCCTGATTCTAGCCCAACTGATAATTTCCCTACAATAAAAGTGTTCCATCTCTATCAAATTAATAATGGCATTTGTTTGCCCACTGAAAGCCTTTACACTTGGGACATACACCTGGAGGTTTACATGCTTTTTGTTCCTTTTTTTAGCATTCAATTAAATTTTCCCTTTTAAACACTTCTTTCTTACGGCCTAGCTTCCCCCATTTATGGCATTTGATGTTAACTGAGGGATTTACCCTCTGATCTTCCACCTGCCCACTTTGAGACGTCAATATAGCATTTACCTGCTTCTAGTATAAGATTCATCTGATGTCTCAACTGTATTTCAACTGCTGTATCTCATTTGCCATGATTTGGCCTTTTACTTTCTACAATCTTTCCCTTTCAATTCTTAGAACCTTTGGCTACCTTAAAGAGACAGGAGCTCTTTAGCTGTTTTTTACTCTGGAGTCTTGTTTTACAAAACTTTACTTCCACTGTTTCTTCACCAGCCTCAATCTACCTCAATTCTTTTCTTTTTAAACAGAACTCAACTGCCAAAAAGGGGATGGGGCGTTGGTCTCTCAAAAGCTACTTCCTGCTGACATTGGGCGAAGGTATTAGGGGAAGGCAGTTAGAAGTTCTCTTCCCTAACTTAATCAAGTCTTGCAACCTATTCCCAAACTTTTCTCTTTGCTGTTTTACCGAAGGCTATTCTCACCCCTGAGGCTAAAGGCTTGTTTACTAAAGGTTCTTATCTCCTAGGTCTAACCTTTCTCTTCCCCTTTTGTTTAGAGGCTTTTTTCTGTTTTTCTCCAGCCACTTCATAGAAGAGGCTAAAGGATTTTACCAGCTTTTTCCCCACAGAAGTAGTAGTTAGAATTTGGAAAGAGAAAACGCAGGAAAGAAGAGGAAAAACCGAATGAGAAAGGCCTGCTGTTGGCTGTCTTTCTTAGATATTTCTTTTCCCTCTAAGTATTTCTATTTCTCTTTTTTTCTTATTTTGCTAAAGCTTATTTCCCTCTCGGTCCATGTTCACTGAATCCTGCTCAAAGCACCATTTGTCAGTGGCGTTCACTATCCCGCTTCTGACACCACTTGTCAGGGCCCAGGACTGGCCAGGTCTCGGGCCCAGCTTAGGCAGGTTCTGGACGCAGACCCCTAAGCTACCTTGCTCAGGAACAGTTTCTCATAGGTGCTTGAGGGCTATCTACTTTAGCTGGAGAGAGAGAGACAGTATCTTAGAGTAAAGGTCTTCTTAGAACAGATAGATCTTAGTCTTTAGCAGAGCTTGGTAATCTTCAGCAGAGGCGCCTTGCTGGCGTTCTACAGGCAGGAGAGGAGACAGAGTCAGATCCGTGATAGAACGGATCTATCCGTGATAGAGTGGATCCGTGATAGAACGCGCATGCCTCTTGACTGCCTGCTCCTCCAGCCTAATATAAGGCTGAGCTCGTGCCTCTCAACACCACAGGTGTAGAGACTGCCAATTCACCAATGATCTCATCTCGTGAGCTCCCTCATGCTTGTTAGAACCAAATCTCACTCCATGCCCTTTTCACCAAGGTGTTCCATTACAGGTATTTCTTATAACTCTCACTCCTCCTAGCCATAGACTATACGGGCTGCTACAATCTATTATGAACATTATCAAGCCATTAAAATAATCTTTGAAAAGAGTTTCAAGCACATGGAGAATAGCTTTTGATATGTTAACAACAACAAAAAAATCAAGACAAATAAGCAACGATAGCAATGAGTAACAAAAGGCAGGATGTAAGTTATCTACTCATAAGACCTCAGATATAGAATATAAAGTATGGGGGACCTCTTGATTAAAGATTTATTAGTATGTTTTTCTTTGCTTCGTTTTGATTTTCTGTACTCTGCAGGTTTTCTGCTATGAGGACATGACTTTTATTAACAGGCAAACAAATGTAATGACTTACAGAAAATCAGGATGCAGGGACAATTCCCCAAGCTGGCTTTTGGATTCAATGATTTGCTAGGGGGCTTTATGGGACTGAGCATATTGCTGTACTGAAGACTATGACTTATTACAGCAAAATGACACCTTACATAAAAGGGTTGGTTACAGCAGAATCCAGAGGCAACTTGGAGCAAGCTCTTAAGAGTCCTCCCCCACTGCCATTGCACAAGGCACACATAATTCCTTGAGCAATTAGCTGTGATAACACATGTGAAATGTTGTCTACCGGGGAGCTCATTAGAGATTCAGTGCCTGGGTTTTTACTGGGGGTTGGGCATTTACACAGCCTCTGCCTAGCTATACCCCCAATCCACACTCTGAGAAGGGAGATGTTTGTACAAACAGTTGAGGCACAGTGAGTCACTCTTGTCAGGGAATGGTGGGAACCCTTCCCAGTCCAGGTTCCCAGATGCTAGCAGGGCCAACCCTGAGCAGGCCTCTCTAATGCGAGCAGTCTCAGGCCTGCTGTATCAGCCCCACCCTGCGCATTCCTTCCCCTAAAGCCTCACCTGTCCACCTATCCTCAGGGAGTAGTACCAGGATTCTTACTATGCTTTTCCTGCCCTTCCATCACAAGTGCTGAATTTATTCCACTGTGGCCTTTTCAAAGTCCAGGGAAAGAGGCTGGTTACGTTACACTGGAAGCGTGGGATTTGAGGGGAAAGTCTCTGGCAACACGAGCACCTGTCTTCTCCCAGCCAGCCTTTCTCAGGGCCAGCCAGGTGGTCTCCTGCGTAGAGCTCGGGAGATAATTAGCACACATGCTGCCAGCGTCTGGTTTCTCGCTCCTGGCTTTGTGTGGGTTTTCCTTTCACTCTAACTGCTTAAAAATCAATTAGCTAGCAGTCATTAGAATACAGAACTCATTGTCGCAGAAATGGGATTCCTGGGTGCCCGGAGGCTCTGTGTGCAGTTTGGCTTCCCTTCTGCAACATCCCTTTCCCGAGGGAGATGGAGCGGTGATTTCATGTCCGTTCCCTGCCTTCCTGGGGTGACTTCGAGATGAGGGCTCACTTGCTCATTTTCAAATCCCGCCTCTGCTCTGTGATGAAGTCACTTTCTCTTCATAGTCTTTGATAGCACAGAACTGGAAGGTGATGCAAATCAATTGCTTGCTCACTCCCCATCCCTCCTACCCCTCCTTGATCCCAAGTATCCTCTCCCAACACCTGCCTGGACACCGTGAACTCAGCTAAGCTGCAGGTTCCCTTTAACATTGAACTTCATGTTCTTCACTCTCTCCCTCCAACCTTGCCCCAGTCTGTATTCAGTGGAATTGGAGAGTCATTCAGCATCAAACCAAAAAACTCCCCCTGATGGGAGTTTTTTTTTTAAAGACAGCCCCTGTTTTGCTAAAGCGGAGACAGTGGATGGCTGGCTGGCTGCTCTTGCTCGTCAGACTTGCTTACTGTGTGTGCCCAGCTTTTGTCCTTGATAAGTGTTCATTATTATGTTTAAACATAGCAGTCAGTGCAATAATTTATTACTTTATGTAGGTGTTACTGTTGTTTTACTTTTATCTCCCCTTGCTCTCTTCAGTAACTTATGTCGATGAAGATGAAAACGAAGTCCTTGAGTTATCATCAAATAAAACATTCTTGGTCATGCTAAAGATTCCAGAGGAGTGTGTTACAGAAGAGGAGTTGCCTCACCTGCTCACTAAGAGGGTAACTATGTCTAACACATTGTTTCCTGAGTTCTTAACAGTAGCATTTGAGTTTCGCTAGAATAATTGGCATAGAGCTATAGAGTAAGTGGCATTGATCTCAGATTCTTTATCTGGATTTGAATAGAAAATGATGGTTGGAAACATTTTCTGTAGTGCAAAGCCAGAGAGGAGAGCCCTGGCCTCTGGCTTTGTACATCTTAGAGGGTGGTGTTCTATTTACTCACTCTGGTCTTTACATTGGTTATTACTATATTATTCATGGAGGGCCTCTATGACCTTCTAGACAACATGCCAAGTATCAGGGCTATAGGCTGTGTCTTCTGTGGGCTCACACTCCAAGCACAGGCAATAATTATATAGGTAGTTACAAAAGAATGTGGTGTTTTGGTTACTGAAATATGTACAGAGTGTTTTACAACTGCGGGGGGCAGGGGGAGACATTGGAGGTGGAGTTGGAGGCAATTTTCAGAAGTATTTTCTGGATAAAAGAGCCAGGGGCATCAGGGGGTCTGCAGAGTAGTGTGTGGTGGCCTTGGCACGCTGTGTGGTTCTCTCACTCTTTGGTTAGTCACTGAAAGAGTTTAATCAGCAGATTGATGTGGTCAGGTTTTCATTTTAGCCTTTCTGCGAGATGGTGGAAAAAGACTGGAGGAAGAGACTAGTTAGAAGATGCAGGTGAGAAATGGGGGAAACTGGACCCAAGGCAGCATCAGGTTCAGTTTAAGGGCTCCAGTGAGATTGTAAGAGGTGTTCTCCCTCAACAGGACTCAGTGAGTGGCCACAAGGTGGTGAGGGAGAGCCTGTCTCCAGGCTTCTGGTAGAGTGACCAGGCAGATGGATGATCATTTATGGAGTGGGGAATGCAGGAGAGTGAGCCCCCTGTGCAATATGGGGCTCTGCAGCCAGAGCAGGAGGGTGGTTGGGTCGTCCTGGGTATCCTGTCAATGGCAGTATGGTTCGTGGCCAGACCCAGGAGGTTCTTTTATGAGAAAATCTGATCAAGAGCAGCCAGCCAGCCATCAGACTGCTCTGGGGTGGCGAGTTTGAATGAGTGAGCCCTCCTCATCTGGCTTCCATTTGATTCCTAAGAAAACCCGTGAGGGAGGCGAGGCCACTCCAATCATGTTAGATCACTTGCCGGGTGCCCAGAGGCAGGAGATTTGATTGCTCCGGTCATCACAGGAGTTCGTATCCTGTGATGATTACTCCAAGCTTCTCTTTCTCCTCTCCCTTATTCATATCTTACCTGCAGTTCCCTTTTCTCCTTGCCTTCCACCCACTTCCCAGAGTAAGTTTCTGAGTAAGGAGCTTCTTGCCACTGTCCTCTTGGTGGCTTTTTTAACAGGGAGGTTTTGCAGTTGCCGAGCAAAGATGAAATGAGTCAGCATCCACATGTCCCCGGCTACACACGGACTCTCTGTGCCAAAGGGAAATGGACGTTAATTTTTCACCTTAGGTCCGTATCTTTTGCACAGAGCTAGACATGAGCCAATTCTCCTGGTAGTTTTATCTCTTCACTGTGTATTGACAACAGAACAGGGCCTGACAGTGACACCTGGGGCAAGTACACAGGTCAGATGCCTCTGAGCCAGTTCCCTCTCTGATAAGCGAAAAGCACGATATTTTTTTCTGTATATCTTACAGGTTCAAATAAGATTGCACATAAAGAAATTTGAAAGACTATTTTTTTTTTTGTTGAGAATTACCTGATAAACAGATGATAAAAGTAAGGCATAAAGGAGGTGAAAGACTCCTGGCCCTCATTTCCCAACCAAATATGCTCAGGAACAAATATTAGCAACTTAATTTATTGTCTTACTGTCAGGTTGACAACTCCTTTCTTCCCTTAGGTCATCTTCCAAAAGTTTCTGGATATAGATGGTAAATGGGAGTGTCTATTTGTATAGGAAAAACTGCTTTTGTCTCACCCTCAGTGTTAAACCTTTCTGTGACCGAATGTGTGGGTTTTATGTCCCACACCAGCCAATTCTCTGACACCAGCTGGATGTCTTGTGATCCAGTTTATTTCTGACACCATCTACCCAGAGTCAGTGCAGACCCCACAGTCTAAGGGCTCAGCCCCACAAGACAGCCCTCACTTCACATACCTATCACAAGGCTGGGTTGTCATCTGTGCTTCTGACCAACCAGCTATTTATTCACTGGAGGTTTCCACAACTGCCTCCCTGGGTTTGATTGCTTGCGAGAATGGCTGTGGAACCTAGGGAAGCACTCTCTTTACGGGTTTATTACAAAGAACGTCACAGAAGACGCAGATGAGCAGCCAGGTGAAGAGGTGAAAGGGCAGCATGTCAGAAGGGCTGGGAGTGTCCATGCCCTCTCCAGGCGCACCCCCTTCCCAGCCGCACCCCCTTCCCAGCACATAGATGGAGGTCAGCAATTCACCCGGAAGCTCTCCAGACCCGTCTTCTAGAGATTTTATGGAGGCTTCATCCTGTAGGCATGAAGGATTATTAACTCATTCTCTGGCCTGTCCCTTTCCCGATGGCAGTGGGGCTGAAAGTTCTCAGCTGCTACTCAATGGCTTGATCTTTCTGATGATCAGCTCCCATCTAGGAAACACCAAGAGTCACCTCCTTAGAACAAAAGACACCTCTGTCACTCAGGAAATTCCACGGGATTTAAGAGCAGCTCTACGTCAAGAGCTGAAATCAAACACCAAATGTTAGAATACAAGATACCACCCAGCCCTCCTATCACTCAGGAAATAAGGGTTTTAGGAGCTCTGTGCTGTGCCAGGGCCTCAGGCAGAGGCTAAATAGGGAATAGTTTTAGTATGTCACAGTATTGGAAGCTTATGCCCTTTCTCTTGCTTTTCTAGACAGTTTTCATAGCCCCTGCTGTATCTCATGGCCAGAGTTTTCGTCTCTGAAGCCATTACTCTGCTTACATGGTATGTCACTGTGCCTTGTGCCTGGCTTAGGAGTGAACCAGCACCTCTCTCCTTCTGGAGGCTGGTTTCCCATCAGCCACTGCGTCAGACTCTGCTTCCACTCCCTGGGCTTCTTGCTCAGTTTGCACCCAGTCTTTTAGGCGCAGTGAAGGTGACACTAGAGCAAGGGGTGAGGAGGCCCCTGTTTTTTCACTCCTGTGGACCCAAAGTGGACAGTGCAACTAACAGCTCCCAAATGGAAATATGTCCTAGATACAGCAGGGGGCCAGGCCACCAGAAAGAGTGATCTCATCTTCCATTCCATACCTTAAAAACTTTGTAGAGAGCCTACTATGTGCAAAGCACAGTGCTAGGCCCTAAAGATTAGTAAAGGAAAGAAGGGGTGGGGGGAGCAGAGAAGATTGGAAGGAAGAGTAGACATAGGAAGCGCAATCCAAAAGGAAGAGGGAGGCATTATTGTTTCTTGTATAATTTTATGAAGTGCTTAAAAATATTCCCCTATGCATCACCTCCAGCCTCCTCCCTGTCATTCACAGCAGCTCTATAAAAGCTGTTTTTCTAGTTCTTGGGTTTTCTAAATGACTACTGGCCTCTGGGCACCCTTTTGTTCCTAAGGGGTGGGGGAGCTGTGGTCTTTTGGATTCTTGAGTGTGGCCTTTTGACTGGTGTACATTTTACAGAATGTATCTTTTTAATAAAAGGGATTTGTTCTGTGACGTTTGGATTCAGTTGAGGCACTGCACTTGGGGATCTGGTGGATAGTGTGGTAACGGGAGTAAGCTGAATTTTAGTGTCTGTCATACCTAGCATTGAATTTTAGCTTCACCATTGATTAGCAGAGTGACCTTACATAGAGGTTTCTTGACCTCTTGGAATGGAGTGCTGTTTTCGTTACCAGTAGAAAGGGGAGTTATATTAATGCCTGTTTTGTCAGGTTCTTTGGAAGATCACAAAAATAACGACAAGATGAGAGGAGCAAAAATAGCAGGTGCTCTAATTATTTCCACTCTGCCTTTGAGAGGTTGAGTTGCATCTGTTGAATTAAGTGGCAGCGTCTTGTGGCAGGGCAGCCTCCTTGAGATTCCATTTGGAATTGGGCAGGGGACAGGTGAGCTCCTTACAGGGAGGGCACGGCTGTTCTTTGCATGTCCCCCTGTTTGTGCAGGCCAAAGTAAGGGGGCACTAACAAAACCATAAAGGCAGTCGCTGGGTATGCTTAGTTAGCACTAGGGAGCCATTGGATGCTGGGGAGATTCCAGAACAGTATCAGGGCTGAGGCGTCGGGCTGGCCAGGGATAGGTCTGGCCATGCTCTCAGGTGCCTGGCCATGGTCACTCCAGAGCTGGGCCCATGCTGATAACCAGATACCAGGGCAGTCCTCTTTTTTTATGCTAGAACCAGTCTGCTAGAGATCAATGTGTATAAACTTAAAATGTAAAATTAAAAGAAATGCAGTGTAAATGCATGCAGCCACGTGTTCCTGAGGACTTATACTAGGTTGGAGTTTCTATCTCTGCA